GGCTCGCGCGGGGCTGCGGCCTACAGCTTGTGCGCGGGGGCGACGCCTTTCCCGCGCAGAGCGGGGGCACCGCGGACAGCGTGCTTCGACGAGCGGCCGCTCGCGGGCGAGCCTGCGGCTGCGGCTGCGGCGCTGAAGGTCGAGTCGGCGAGGCGCCGCGAGGCCCAGCCCCTCGTCCCCCTTGCCGAGCTTCACGTGCAGACCGAGGGCATCGTGCCACGGCGCTGGGACTGCTGCTGATCGCGATGGCCCGCGCCGGTGCGCCCCAGGGCCCCTACGGGGAATGACTGCCCTGGCATGGGGCGCGGCGGCGGTCGAGGTGGAGGTGAGCGTCTAAATCAACGAGGCTTGTGGAGTTGCAGGGGGTCGTCGTCGGCGACGTCTTCCACTCCTTCCGTTTGCCGCCGTGATCGCCTCTACATCCTGGGGCGGACAGCGGAGCTGGAGCAGTGGAAGGCGTCGGCAGCGTCGTCCACAGACCGTCGATTTATTCGGCGACTGGCACGACGACCCAGATGCCAGCGGCAGTGAGCCCTCGGATTCGCAGATCCTTGTCGTGTAAGCAGCAGTCGCTGCTGCTGTGGGCTCCGTTCGCAGGTGGCGAAAGTGGGGGGTCCTCGTGTGGCTCGTGGCGCCACCCTGCGTCGAAGTGCGGCCTCGCGGGCAGGTGGCGGAAGTCGCCAATCCTCGTGTGGCTCGTGGCGCCACCCTGCCGCGAGGGCCTGTGTGTCTGCTATTGCTGGTGGGTGAATCCTATGGCGCGCATGCTTTGTGCAAGGCTTGTTTGTGGATGTAAAATACAGTTGCAGGCGCCCGATGCGGCTCGGAGCGCGGCGCCTATCATGCTCGTGGGGCCAGGAGGGTCCGAGGATCACGAATGCCTACGACGAGCTTGCCGCTGCCGTGCTCGAGCGTGCCGCCTCGTTCACGCGTCGGCGATTGGCCTCCGCTGGTGTGCCAGCGGCGTCAGTCTGGAGCCCGGCAGGTCCTCCCAGGTGCCAAGTGGGCACGGCCTGACGTTGCGGGCGAGGCGCCGGGGTAAGCGTTCGGTTTCGGGCGGCTTTCGAGCGAGAGCCCCCAATAATCTTGGATGCAGTGTATCATTGTCATCATCATCATCATCATCATCATCATCATCATCATCATCATCATCATCATCATCATCATCATCATCATCATCATCATCATCATCATCATCATCATCATCATCATCATCATCCGCATCATCAGCATCATCATCATCAGCATCATCATCATCACCATCATCGTCATCATCATTAACACAATCATCATCATCACTAAACTCATCATACTCACCATCATCACCATCGCCATCATCATCATCATCATCATCATCATCATCATCATCATCATCATCATCATCATCGTCAGCATCATCATCATCATCATTATCATCATCGTCATTATCATCATCATCATCATCATCATCATCATCATCATCATCATCATCATCATCATCATCTTCATCATCAACGCCATCATCACCATCATCGTCATCATCATCATCGTCACCAGCGCCATCGTCATCCTCATCGTCGTCATCATCATCACCATTATCACCTCTCCTTCTCCTCTCGTCCCTCGCGTCTTCTTCTTCGTCGTCGCCCCCCCAACCTCCCCCTTTGCTTCATCCCTCTTCCTCGTCGCCTCGCTCCTTCTGTTGCTCCTCCTTCTCATGCTCTTCCTCCTCTCCTCCTCCTCCTCCTCCTCCTCCTCCTCCTCCTCCTCCTTGTCATCCTCCTCCTCCTCCTCCTCCTCTTCCTCCTCCTCCTCTTTCGTCCTCCTGCTCTTCGTCCCCGTCCCCGTCTTCCCCCTGTTCCGCCTCCTCCTGCTCCTGGTCCTGCTCCTGCTCTTGCTGCTGCTGCTGCTGCTGCTGCTGGTGCTGGTGCTGCTGCTGTTTTTCCTCCTCGCCCTCCTCCTCCTCCTCCTCCTCCTTTTTCTCCTCCTCGTCCTCCTCTTGCTCCTCCTCCTCCTCCTCCTCCTCCTCCTCCTCCTCTTCCTCCTCCTCCTCCTCCTCCTCCTCCTCCTCTTCCCCCTCCTCTTCCCGCCTCCCTCCTCGCGGCGGTCCTCGTTGTCCTCCCCTCTTCGTCGTCTTTTTCTTTCCCACCTCTGCGGCAGCGTCCCCCTGGGCCTCTTCGCACAAGGTGAAGCTGCGCGGCGAGGCGATGCAAGAGGCTGCGACGCTCAGCGCGCAAGGCATGGTCTCGGTGGCTGGCCTCGACAAGGAGCGGGGAGGGGGGCGAGCCGGGAAGGAACGGGGGGAGGGGCAGGGCGAGCGGAGGGGCGCGGGGGGGAGGGGCGGAGAGGGGAGGAGTGGGTAGAGGAGGATTGGGAGGGAAGGGGGCGAGCGGGGAGGGGGAATGGGGGAAGGGGGGGGAGACGAGACGGGTTGAAGGAAGGGGGGGTGGGGAAATGGGAGGGGGACTGTGAGGCGGGAGGGGGGGATGGAGAGAAGGGGATAAGGGGGGATGAGAAGAGGGATGCAAGAGCGGAACGGACATGGTGTGTGTGTATGTGTGTGGGTGTGGGTGTGGTGGGTGGGATGGTGGGTGGGTGGATGGGTGGGTGGGTGAGTGGGTCGGGGGTGGGTCGGTGGGTGGGTGGGGGGCGGGTGAAGTGAGAGAGGGGGAGGGACGAGCAGGGATGAGGTGGTGCCAAACGGGGAGGGGAGGGGTAGGGGGTAGAGTTTCGGGGAAAAGAGTGGACAATTATCGGGGGACGAGCTGGGGGGGGAGAGGACATCATCACGAAGCTGTGCCAGGAGGCGGCGGCAGCGGAGGGGCCAGGCGGCGTGTGCATGATCGCCAACGAGCTCTTCCCGAAGGGCTTCTCGTGCGCCGGCACGAGGAAGGCCATAGAGATGCTGCAGGAGAAGGCCGTGGCGGCTGGCGTACTGCAGGCAAAAATTCTCAAGACCTCGGGCGGCTTCCACACGTCGCTGATGCAGCCGGCGAAGGCACGGAGCCCTGAACCAGCCTGAACAGCACATTGGCTTTTCCAGGGGCTTGAGAGATATTCTTGCCATTTCCGGGCTCGGGGAGCCCTCCTTGGGCCCTAGGGCCGTCGCAAATAGACCCCTGAATCGGCCCTTGGCCTGGCGGCCCTTCCTGGTGCCCATCGCTGCGGCTGCGACGCAGGACGACGACGAGAACAAGGAGGAGAACGACGACGAGGAGTGGGAGCAGTGGGGCGACGGCGAGGGCGGCGGCGACGGCGGCGGCGTCGGTGGCGGCTACGACGACGACCGACGACCGACGACCGACGTCGACGTCGACGTCGACGATCGACCGACCGACCGACAGACCGACTGGGCCGATCGACGACAATGGACGAGCGACCGATCGACGGCGACGCCGATGGCTCCTCGGCACCGGCCCTGCAGGTCCGCGCGCGTCGCTCCTCCAGGCCCCCGAAAGGGGGCCCGTTAGGGTCATTTTTTTGGAGCCAACAGGGGCCCCAACGTGGCCCTGAACGGCTCCTTTGGGCCATCCCCCCATCACCACCCGCACTGCTCGGCCCCCAAACGTGGTCCCAGCGGCCCCAACGGCCCGACGCGGCCCCAACGGGCCCCAAAGAGCCCCGGGAAGTAGCTAAGCTGCCCCTGTAGGGCCCGCTTCTTCACCCCTCACTGAGGTCAAAGAGACCACCCGCCCGATTGTTTTTGTTAGTTGTCGTGTTCAAGATCCACGTTCTTTGTTTCAGCATTCGCGCCGTTTTCGATTCGGCTCCGTAGCATTTTCTTTTGCTGGCTGCCGTTTTGTCCCCACCTTTGAGGTTGGCCGCAAACCAAACATATAAAGACGGACTAAACACGTCTCCAGCGTTAACATCATGCAAGTCTGGGGCCAAAATACGAACCCTAGCCCTGCGGGTTATGATGTGCCAAACTACTTTAGCTTTGATCACCAGAAAGAATTTCGAGCATCCCGGACGTACCGAAACTTGAGGGTTTTCACGTGTCGGGCCCTGGGAGGCGACACTCGTTCGACACTGTGTGCACTCCTTCCTGGGATGTGATCCTCGAGTACGCTGGGAGCAAAACACAACCTGCGGGTCCTATGGGCCCTGGGGTGTCGGACCCCCCCGCGTTGGAGCTGGCTGGGGGCCCGAGGTGGCCCAGCACCGGTTCTGGCCAGCAGGAAGCGGGGGCAAGGCTCGAGGTGCCGAGGTGCCGGGCTCGAGCAGGGCTCTTCTGACAGATGCGGCTCTGGGGGCCGTCAAAACCGTAAGTCTGGCGTGTCCCTCTGCAGGAGGAGCATTCAAAAATAGTAAAGACATGGTCAGGGGACGATTTTTCGATAATTTTTCGACTGTTTCTGGGTATTTTTGGACTCTTGTTTTTTTTGCGTCCAAAATCCGCCTGTAGGGGGGGGCCATGCCCGACCTAATCAAAACCGGATCGGGGTTGAAAACTACACCAGATGGGCCCCGGAAGGGGTCGGGGGAGCGATTTTGAGCGGATTTGCCCTTCGCCCCCCTTCTTGACCGATCTTCTCGGAGCCCATCTTCGGCGGCGAGCGAGGCGGGGAAATGAGAAGGAGAAGGCCTTCTCAGAAGGCGGCGGGACTTCTCAGCAGCCCTCGCGCCTTCTGAGAAGTTTCTCTGTTGTCGGGGAAGGCTTCGAAAACGTCTCCGAAGGCCAGGGGACTTCCGAGCTTCCGAGAGGGCCCGCCCCTTCTCGCTTCCCCCAGGGCTCGCCACCGAGTCTGGGTCCCGGTGCGGACACGCGCGCTCTTTGGCCTTTGCGTGGGTGTACGGATGGGCACTGCGTGGAAACGAGGTGACGCAGGCATGCAAATCTGCCACTGACCACGTGGAGGGATGACCGAGGTATGACATAGGTACGGTCAACTCAGGCGATCGCAAACATGGATTAAGGGGGTGTGGATTTGCGACGGGCCCCGTTTTCATGGGGAATCGCGGATTCCCTCTGCCGAACGAGGCGACACCGGCCGCATTTTGGGGAGGGCACCTCCCCCGATCCATGGATTTGGCGACCGCGCGCCAAATCCATGGATCGCTAATCCATATTTGCGCGCCCCCGATCAACGGCCCAAGTCTGAGTCCTTCTCGCTTCCCCCCCGTTGCTCGCCGCCGACAGCCAGTTCGGACCCCCAGGCCGCCTCCCGCCCTTCAGTCGGGCATGTCTCCCTGCAGGAGGGATATTCAAGGATAGTCAAAACAAAGAGTCTGGGGACGATGCTTCGATCATTGTTTGACTATCTTTGCTTATGTGTGGACTATTTTCTTGTTTTCCGTCCAACATCCGCCTGTCGGGGGACATGCCCGACCTGATCCTACCCTCGCACTGCATCCCACTCGGCTGCGGACATCTCGCTCGGGTTCTGGGCCCCGGCCGGCGTCTTGTGGGTGGGGCCAGCATGTCGGGGCCCGCGGAGGGGTGTGTGTGTGTGTGTGTGTGTGTGTGTGTGTGTGTGTGTCCCAGAGCGGGGCTGGCGAACGAGGTGAACCCCACCTCCCCCCATGGGCAATCCTGGGGTGGTGGGGTAGGGTTCGCATGTGGCCTCCTGGGGTGGGGAACGAGCCGCCCTGGATGCTCGCAGCTCCTTCTTCCAGGGGGAGTTTCGCGACATCTTCCGCCCGACCCCATCGCTGAGGGGGGGGGGGGTTATCCCAAGACGGGCTGGGGAACGAGCTAGATGCTCGCAGCTCCTTCTTCCAGGGAGCGTTTCGAGCGATCTTCCTCCCAACCCCATCGTCGAGGGAGAAGGCACGCACAGGCGTAGGTGCCCGGGCCTTCTGGTCAGGAGAAGCTCGGGAAGGCCCTGGACGAGCTGCTCCCGAGCATGAAGCCGCCGGCCCACTGCGTGTGGATGAACACCACGGCGCAGCCACTCCAGCCTGGCCCTCGGGGGGCAAAAGATTACCGAGCACGTTCCACTACTCGCAAAGTGCCCACTCGCAAACGTCCGAAAGCACACATGTCTTCCTCTGCGTAGTGACTCGTAAATCCCCCGCGGCGGATCCAGGCCATTTGTGAGTAGTTACTCTGCGAGTCGTAGAGCGCGCTTGTCTGGAAGAGGGGGGTCGGACAGGCTCGGGGGGGCGCGCTCGGCAGCTCGCAGGGCCCCGTGATCGGGGCGTTGCAATTCTTTGTGTCGCGCCGGACGTTTTCGCCCCGTGTGTCTGGCCCCAGGGCCACCACGGGTCGAGCCGGCTCGAGAGGTGCCGCAGCGATGTGGAATTTTGTGTTCCAGGCGTTTTTTATCGATGAAGTTTTTTTCGCAGCGCGTAGATCTGCTGAGAGAGTAGGTCTGGGACAGTAGAGTGCAGAGCGAGGCATGGGGGCATGCCAAGTAAGCAGGCACTGCGTATGTTAATAAGATCTACGCAACAGAGAGAGAGAGAAGGAGTAGGAGAGGGAGAATGAGAATGAGAAGGAGAAGGAGAAGGAGAAAGAAAAGGACAGAGAGAGAAAGAGAGATAGAGATAGAGAGAGAGAGAGAGAGAGAAAGAGAGAGAGAGAGAGAGAGAGTGAGACATGCATCGACAGATAACGAGAAAGAGAGAGAGAGAGAGCGAGAGAAATATATGGACACATGTCTCTCACTACATATATATATATATATCTATATATATATATATATATATATATATAGTGAAGAGAGAGAGAAAGAGGGCGGAGTGCCTGCGAACATCCCTGGAGAGCCGCAGCCTCGGGGTGTCCCTCTCGGCCGTGATCATTTGGGGTGCGCACCGCGCCGGCCCTCCCTGGGGGGCGGCGGCGGACGGGCTCGCTCCAGGGGGGGATGGCGTGTTCGGGAGCGCGCAGCAGAGGAGGAGGAGGAGGAGGTGGAAGGAGGAGGGAGGGAGAAGGAGGAGGAGGAGGAGAGGAGGAGGAGGAGGAGGCAGAGGAGGAGGAGGGGAGGAGGAGGGAGGGGAAAAGGAGGCAGAGGAGGAGGAGAGGAGGGTAGAGGAGGAGGAGGAGAGGAGGAAGGAGGAGGAGGAGGAGAAGGAGCGAAAAGGAGTCGAGGAGGAAGAGCGAAGGAGGAGGGGAGGAGAGAAGGAGGAGGAGGAGGAGGAGGTACGAGGAGGAGGCGCGGCGCAGGAGAGGCGGAGGGAGGAGGAGGAGCAGGGAGGCAGGAGGAGGAGGAGGACGGCGCAGGAGGAGGCAGGAGGCGGACGGGAGGAGGAGGAGGAGGCGAGCGGAGGAGGGAGGAGGCGGCGGCGGAGGCGGCGCGGAAGGAGGCGTGAAGGGCGGCGGAGGCAGGCGGCGGAGGACAAGAGGCGGGCGGCTGAGGAGGAGGCGGCGGAGGATGAGGCGGCGACGGCGGCGGGGGCTCTGGCGGTGCTGCGGCGGAGTGAGCCGCGGCGTATGCAGGCGCGGCAGCTGCGCGCGGAGAAGAGCGCGCAGGCGGAGCGCGCCGGAGAGCGCGCAGGACTGAGCGCGAGCGGAGGATCGCGCCGGAGGAGCGCGGAGGGGGCGCGCGAGGAGGAGGAGCGCGGAGGAGGAGCGCGGAGGAGGAGCGCGGAAGAGGAGCGCGGGGAGGAGCGCGAGGGGGCAGCGGAGGAAGAGCGACGGGGAGAGGGGACGCGAGGAGGAACGCGGAGGAGGAAGCGGGGGGAGGAGCGCGCGAGGAGGAGCCGGAGGAGGAAGCGCGGAGGAGTAGCGAAGTGGCGGACGTCGGCGGAGGGAGGAGGATGAAGAGGCGCGAGGAGGAGGAGGAGGCAGTCAGGAGACGAGAGGAGAGGCAAGGAGGCACAGCAGGCGGCGGGCGGCGGCGGCTGCCGACCGGCGGCGCCGGCGAGGAGGAGGAGGAGGAGGAGGAATATGAAGAACACTAAGAATAATAAGAGTCAGAAGAATAATAAGAAAACCAAGCATAGTACTAATACTAATATTCATATTAATAATAATATGAATACCTATAATAAGACGAAGAATAATAATACTAATAAGAATCACAAGAAGACGAGTAATAATAATAATAACAACAATAGAACAATACTAAGCATATTAAGCATGATACTAATACTGTGAAGGATAATAAAAATAATACGAATACAAACACGAAACATAAGAAAATAATATGAAATAAGCAGATAAAGAAACCAGAATAAATCAGAGGAGGAGAGAGGAGGAGGAGGAAGGAGGAGGAAGGCGGAGGAGGAGGAGGAGGGAGGGGGGCAGGCGGAAGGGGTGAGGGGGAGGGGGAGGGGGAGGGGGAGGGAAGGGGGCAAGCAAGGTGCGCTCGCGGCATATCTGACGTCCTACCCCTCCCTCCCCGTCCGTTACCGCTGGCGCTGTTTTTTATCTCTCTCCGCGACGCGTGGCGTAGCGGACCTTTGGCTCCGCGCAGCGCGTGCGTAGTGGGTGGTGGGTGGCGCGTGCCGTGCGTGCGTGCGTGCGTGTGTGCGTGGTTGTGGTGGTGTGGGTGGGTGGTGGTGGTGGTGGGGCCTGGGGTGGTGGCGTTGGGTGCTGGTGGTTGTGGTGGTGGTGGTGGTGGTGGTGGTGGTGGTGGTGGTGGTGGTGCGGCGCGGTGGCGGCGGGCGGATGGGCGCGCGAGAAAGAGGCCCGCGCTGGGGCGAGAACGCCATCCTGAACGACTGAGGCCAAACACCGATCCGAAAATGAGGCCCACGCTGCAGCGGGAGCACGATTCGGAACGATTCGGGAGCAGAAATGAGGCCGGCGCCTCAGCGCGAGCAGCATTTTATAAAATAACACAAATGTAAAACCCGTTTCCCAGTAATCCGGTGAGGGGGTGTCGCGGATATCTTCGGGACCCATCAGGGGAAGTGGGAGAGTATTTTCATATCGTTAATTGCGGAGGGGGAGGGAGGGAGGGAGGGAGGGAAGGGAGGGAGGAAGGGGAGGGAGGAGGGTGAGGGAGGGAGGGAGGGAGGGGGAGGAGGAGGCAAGGCGGGAGAAGGAAAGGAGGAGGAGGAGGCGGAGGAGGGGGTGCAGGCTCTGAGGGCGGCAGCCCTTTTCAGAGAGCTCCCCCGCCCCCCCCCCCGCCTCTCGGGAGGGGAGTGCGGTCTGCGAGGGGCCCCCTCCAGGGATGGTCGGGGGCGGCCAAGAGGGGGGTGATGACTAGGGGGGGCGGATATCATGGCGGGGGCCATGGTATCTCCCCAGGTTTCATGGCGCCTCTTCTCGTTTCGGTACGTCCCCAGCCCCCACCCCGGGGCCGCGCACATGCCGCCGGCGGTGATCTGCGCCCACCCTCTTGGCCGCTGCCCTCTGGGCCGCCCCCGAGATGGGGGGCCCAGCGCCGATCCCAAGAGATTCGCGCGGAGCTCCAAGAGTTTGCGTCTGTGCAGTTGTTTGTGCCTCTGCCCCCGTCGGGGGGGGACCCTCAGAGGAGCAACGCGTCATGGTAACGATACGTGCCAAGAGGAGAAGGAGGAGGAGGAGGGATTCCCAGGGTTTTCCAGAATCTCCCCATCGTGGTTCCGCTCGCGGGCTCCAGGCACGAGGGCTGCTGGATACTCCCTGGAATCTCCTGGGGCGCACCCTGAGCTTAACGACATCCTGGCGCTGCTCTCGTCCCAGAGTCTTCGAGCAGGGGATCGACTACAGAATCGATGTGCCCCACAATCGTTTGTTTCCTTCGAGTCTACGAAGCGTGCGTCGAATGTCTTGTAGATCTACGGAGCATTACATTCTCTTCTTGGGGAGAAATCGACGACGTGAAAATCGATGCTGGGGCAAATCAACTCTGCGGAGCCTTCTACGGAGTTTTGTGGATTCGATTGGGAAATCAAATGGGGTAAATCGATGCCGCTGTCGATCTCCTGCTCGAGCTCTGGACCCCCCCCCTGCGCGAGCTGAGGAGCGCAGAGTGCCCCCCTCCCAGGCACGGACCCGAAGGAGGTCGTGGAGCTGCTGAAGAGGCAGCTGCGGGCGCCCCGGCGCCCGCCAGGTCGCGGAGCTGGCCCGTTGCGGTCGCGGCGATCGGCGGCCCTGCGATCGATTTTCTGACGACGACGACGACCTGACCTCGGATCCGCCTTACTTTGGTTGATTTTCCGAGTTCAGTTGCGTCGGAAGTGCACCCCGAACGATGCGAACGGGTAGGGCAGGATTTTCCGCCACGGAAAAGCGGGGCGGTTATTTTCACAAAGGTGCGGCGGTAGCAGCGACGGCAAAGCAGGGCGGAAATCGGCATCAAAGGAGCTTGATGAGTAGGGCGGGAAGTTCCGCCCGACCTGCGAACTCGCCCCAAGGGAGAGCGGACCCGAAGAGTCCTTTCCAGAGGGGGAGACGGGCGCCGATGCCGCTACCGCTCCCTCGTTTTCGCCTCTGTGGGGCCTCCTGGGAGGCACCCGTCGGCACGGCCGGATTCGCTTGATGATTCTGGCCAGGAGGCACCCTGTGGGAGGGGTCCGGGGAGCAGCGGTGTCGGCATGTCTTTGGCTCTCCCCAGCAGGTGCTCTCCGTTCGTCCTCCTGTCGCTCGTGTCCTCCTGCCGCTCGTGTTCTCTTTTTTGTTGTTGTTGTGCTTTCTTCCTTCTTTCCCTGGGTCGTGCTTGCTACTCTGTGCCCCTCAATATTTCTCTGGGCCCCTGGACTATACAGGTACCCTTCCCCTGGTCTACAGGTACCCCTCCCCTGGACTACAGTTACCCCGCCCCAGACTACAGGCACCCTCTCGCGTTCCCCCCCAGCCTGCAGGTACCCCCTCCACAGACTACAGGTACCCTTCCCCCGGACTACAGGTACCCCACCCTGGACTACTGGTGCCCCTTCCGCGGACTGCAGGTACCCTCGCTGGATGACAGGTACCCCCCGAACTGCTGAGGGGCACGGAGTATCTGTAGGTCCCGCTCGTGATCTCCTTTCCTCTTCCTCGTCCTCCTGCTCTGGAGCAGCCGCGGCGCCCGATGCCTCCTGCAGACCCGCGCGTCCTGAGGACCTTGACTCGTACCCTCACGGTTCGAACGTAGTTGTTCAAGAGGGGACCATCGGCGAACACAAGCTGCGTTTCATGAAGATATAGGGAAATATGGGAAGTGCAGGGGAAGAGGAAGATCCAGGGAACTGAAAACCAAGTATGCTGGAGTACCGGGGAACTGGGCCCTGGGCCGGGATTCCCTAGGTGGAACTCCAACTCACATGTCGAGCCCTCCGCCGGAAGTGGACCCCAAACACCGCCAGCAGGCCCCGAGAGGCCCCCAAGAGTCCCCAAAAAGGCGCCACGAGGCCCCCAAACAGTCCACAAGAGGCTTCAAAGCTAGCTCCCAGAGGGGCCCGAGAGGCATGCCAAGAGATCCCAACAGGTATCCCAGAAGCCTCTGACGCAATCCAGGCACGGTGGCGGTCTGAGCCGAAGGCTAGTAGATCCGCCAATGATCACAGGGGTGCCTGGCGTGCCGGATTTCTTCGATGATTTGGATTCTTTTTAAGACTCCCCTTGGGGTTTCAGCTCATTGTTCCGGATGGCTCCAGGATGCCACAAGATGGCCTCCAAGACGGCTAGGATGGCCTCCAAGTCCGCCCAAGCTCCTTGACGGCCCAAGAGCGTCCAACATGCGTGCAAGTCCGCCATAGGAGCCTCCAAGACGGCCCAAGACGGCCCCAGAGGCCCCGAGGAGGCCTCCAAGAAGGCCCAAGAGGCTTCCAAGAGGTCCTCCAGGAGGGCCCGAAGGTGCCAGAATCATTGATTTTCGGCTTCCCGACGGCCCAAGGCAGCTCAAGAGGCCTCCAAGGTCGCCTCAAGATGGCCCCAAAGGCCCCCAAGATGACCCCAGGACCGACCCAGATTCCCCCAAGACGACCCCAAGAGGGCCTGAAGACGGCCCAAGAGGCCTTCAAGACGCCCAAGATGGCTTCCAAGACGGCCCTGAAGCGCCGCAAGAGGACCCAAAGTCGGTTCAGAGAGGCCACCGAGATGGCTTCTGACAGCGTCAGACGGGTTAGGGACGCCCTGAGACGGCCCAAGAGGCCCCCAAGAAGCCCCAACAGGCCTCCAAGAGGCCCAAGGAGGTTTCCAAAAGGAGGCCCCAAGTGTCCTCCTCCCTCCTCCTCCTCCCTCCTCCTCCACAGCCTCCTTCGCTTCCTCGTCCTCCTCTTCCTCCTGCCCTCCTCCATCTCCTCCTCTTCCTCCTCCTCCTCCTCCTCCTCCTCCTCCTCCGCCTCCTCCTCCTCTTCTCAATGTTTCCTCCCTCTCCTCCGCTTCTTCTTTCTCCCTCGCGTGTTCCCCGAAGGAATTCCACAACGGCTGGGGGAACACATGGTCCGATAGCTTGGCAGAGCTCTGGCCACAACATTCGGCAACATGGGCGATTCCGAAAGGCAGGGGGCGGCGGTGATTCGCCGTAGGCGTCTTTGATAACCCTCTTGGTGGGGACTTCTGGACCTTTTGGGGGTCATATTGTGGCGCTTTGGCGGGGGCTTCTTTGGCCGCCTTGAGGCTGTTGTAGGCTGCTGGAGCACGAAAAGGTGAGAAAACGGACACCAGTCAGACGGTTAAATCAGTCAGTGGTTTAGGCTTCCACAGGTTGTTGTCCTGGCGAGCTCTGGCCCCTCCAGGTCATCTCGGCCGTCTTGGAGGCACACGGGGCGAACTTGGAGGCCTCTCGGGAACTTGCGTGCCACCTTGGAGGACAGCCGTGACCTTCTTGGGCCCTCCGGGCCCAGCTCAGGGACCCTCTCGGGCCACGCTGGCTGGCTTGGAGGCGACTCGTCTCGAGCTTGGGAGCAGTGTGCGGTGGCGGCGGACGGGCCGAGAGGCCGAGGGCTACACGGCGGATCGAGGACGCCTGCGGCGAGGCACGCCGTGCCCTGCCTCCGGGGAAGCGCCTGTTTCTCCAAACCGCCCCACGAGAGCTCCAGCCCTGGGGCTCCCCCACCCTGCAATTTCTCGCCCGAAACCGCCCAACGCCCCCCACCACGCCCCGGCACCCACACCCCGCGAGTGCTCTATTCTTGGGACCCCCACCCCACGAGAGTTCCATTCTTGGGACCCCCCACTCTACAAGGAGAGTTTGGGCAAGTCTTTGGACTGCGGGTGCCTGCCGCACCTGTTGGGCCCTTTCGGGGCCATCCCTGGGCGACTAGGTAGGCGCTGCCTCGGGTCGTCCTTTGGCCCTCTTTGGAGCTTTGAGAGGGAGAGCGCACCCTCCTGGGAGCTGGGGCTGGCCCATGGATCGTGCGGAAAGGAGGATGAAACGCCCCAGGACATTTCAAGACGGACCACGAGGAGCGCTGGACGGCCAACGAAGTCCCCCAGGTGTCCCCAAGCTGTGCCAGGATGGCCTCCAGCGTGCCCAGCAAGCCGCCAAGACTCCCACGGAGAGTTTCAAAAGGGACACACTGTTCATCATGTGTCCTCAGAGGCCGAATGCTTCAGATTACAATCAGAGCTTGCTAGAACCCAAGCGCGCGCGAAGCGCGCGCGAGGTTCTAGTGGACAAGTATGGGAACTCTTGGAATATGTGTCGATTTATTTCTGTCCCCGTGGGCCTCATTAATTGTGTTGTCGCCGTGCCGTCTTGCCAAGGACGACCCCCGTGCTCTGGGAGACGTCGGTGCGCAACATGATCAAGTCCGGCATCACGGAGTTTTACGAGGTGGGCCCGCAGAAACAGATCAAGGCCATGATGAAGCGCATAGACCCTACTGTGTGGAACGGCACCACGTCTCTGGAGATCTGAGGTGCGCCTGTGCTTCGTAGCGGGGCTCTTCACGAAACCGCCTTCGGGCGAGGTGGACGCGCTCATCGCGGATAAGAGTTACTTCGCGGTGCCTCAGCGGCGCCGAAAAAACATGAGCGATGTCCACTCGTCGTCATCGTCCTTCCACTGTCTCTTCTCGCCACTATCGTCCTCCCGTCCTCCCATCTGCCATCCAGAAGTCGCCCTGGAGCTGCGGAGGCTCGGCAGAGACCGAGTTTGGGCCCGCTGGGGACTGCCTTGCTCTTGCCGTGTTAGGCCCCGCTTGGTCGTTATTGGGCCCTCTTCCCGAGTGGTCAAGTCCACGAAGGGGTGTTAAGCACGGTGGAGGGGTGGGGGGCGGGGGGCTAATCCCCGACGTGAGGGGTCACACATGGGGAGTCAAACCTGGTATGAGGCGTCGGGTCGAATCGTGAGGGGCAGAGCCCAACACGATGGGTCAACGAACGAGAGGGCCAAACACGGCGCAGGAGGGGTCTACGCTGAGGGGTCAAAGCCGGAGGGTGAGGGGTCAACGCATGAGTTAAGACGGGGCAACATTCCATACCAGCATGAGAGGTCAACGCATGAGGGGCCAAAGCCCCAGCATGAGCGGTCAACGTAGGAGAGTCTTCGCATTTCGCATGACAGGCCACCGCTCCGGCATGAGGGGTCGAATAATGAGTTGGCGAAGCGCCCAGCATGAGGGGTCAATGAACGGGCCAAATGCCTCGCATGAGGGTTCACTGGTGAGGAGTCTAAGCCCTAGCAGCAGCAGCAGCAGCAGCAGCAGGAGGCAGGAGGAGGCAGGAGGAGGCAGGAGGAGGCAGGAGGAGGCAGGAGGAGGCAGGAGGAGACGTCAAGCGCACACCTGCGCGGTCCACTGAGCGGGCGGCCGGGCTCCTGGGCAGGGGCTGCTGCTGGCGCCCGTGGTGATAAACGCGTTCGGCTGGCCCGCCATGTTCTACCTCTTCGGCTCGCTGGGGCTGATCTGGAGGGGGAGGGGGCGACACAAGCACACGGTCTGTGGAACAAAAACGCACGCTGTGGACAAAAAAACAGCACTGGGGAAAAACACACAACGCACACAACACACAACACACATACATACACACACACACACCCACACACCCACACCCCCACACACACCCACACACACCCACACCCACACACCCACACACCCACACACGCGCACACGCACACACCCACACACCAACACACCCACGCACGCACGCACGCACGCGCACACGCACGCACGCGCACACGCACGCACGCACGCACGCACGCACGCACGGACGCACGCACGCACGCACGCACGCACGCACGCACGCACGCACGCACGCACGCACGCACGCACGCACGC